AAAGGCAAGGTTGTAGCTGCGTCTTGCTGACTCGCTCACTATGGCAATGCCCCCAAGGCTTGCCCTTCAGCTTCTCACAGAAGAGAGAAGCATCCCGGGTGGGAAGCTGGCCCTTCTCAGTCTAGCCGCCATCTGCTGCTGACTACATAGAACTATTTACCATGTTTACATCAGGAAAATGATGCTTTAAACCCACAGAAGAAAAGCACATAGGCCAGGAGTGGTGGCGTATGCCTGAATCCCAGCACTTGGGGAGATGCATGAGAGGGCTGCTTGGAGTTCAAGACCAGCCTGGGCAACATGGTGAAACTCCATCTCTACAAAAAAGGTTAGAAAAAAATTAAAAATCAAGTAATGCAACCTGTAAAGGGTACCAAGCTTCTAATCCAGAGGGATTCAGAACCCCTGTGAGGCCCTGTAGCTCCCTGCTTTACCTTCACAATAAACGATGGAGCTGGTCTCGAGTTGAGGTACACAAAACCGGTCAGACAGTGGGGCCCTGAGCAGGAAGAAGCGTTTTTAAGGATTCTCTGTCCGGCCATGTCTGATAGTTCATCCATGTAACAGGAAGGTCAGACAATGTCATCTTCTCAAGGCTGTCCACTTCTCTCAGTTTAAAACCTAAAGGCCTTCCCTGGCCTCGGAGTCCACTGATCTGCCTGCCCTCTGCCCCCCTACCCCTGGCCCCCTTCGTGGCTGTTCGCTCAGCCTGGCACTGTCTCCCACAAACACCCCAGTCTCTGCGGGCCTGCCCTGGCCCCTGCCCCACCCATTGGCTTCTGCCTGCTGAGGCGCTTCCCTGAGGCGTCCCTTAGACACTGTACTGGTTTGACTGTGCTCTCCCACTGCAGTGCAAATTCTAGGACGGCAGGAATCCAGTCTTCTGCTCGCTGCTGCATCTCCAGTGCCTGGAACGCTGCCTGGCACATAACAGCTGTGGAGTGAATGGTTCCCGAGCTGGTCACTGGTCCCCTAAGTGGGGCAGGAGAGGAGCAGCTCACAGCCTCTTGTGTTCTATCAACAGATGCGCTATTAGAGGTCCACGACAGTATGTCGGGAGCCACGTCTGCACGTTACAAATGGCAAAAGAAAGGGAAATCAAGTGTGCTGTACTGACTGAGGCCCTGCTGTGTGCAGTCCGAGGTGCCCACGGCCACTCAGGTGGTTTTAATAGTACTGTTTTCCTGCCAGTTTTGAGCACCCACTGACAGAGGACAATACTGAAACTTACCATCTTACGACTCTAATTTTGGTTTTCTTTAGCTCCTAATCACACTTGACCTCCCGTAATACTAGAGTCTGGCAGATTCATATTAAGGTAATGGGCACAAATGAGAGAGATGAAATCACAGTGCAGGGGAAATGGCACAAAGCCATTTCCTGCTAACCCACTAGAATCTAAGTTAACTTTTTTTTTTGGAAGGAAAAAAAGAGTCTCATTCTGTCACCCAGGCTGGACAGTGGAGCTCACTGCAGTTTCAAACTCCCAGGCTCAAGAGATCCTCCTGCCTGAGTCCTCCTGAGGAGCTGCGACTACACGAATGTACCACCATGCCAAGCTGTTTTTTTTTTTTTAATTGTTGTAGAGATGGGGTCTCCCTCTGTTGCCCAGCTGGACTCAAATTCCACTCAAGTGATCCTCCCCATTCAGCCTCCCAAAGCTCTAGGATTACAGGCATGAGCCACTGTACCCAGCCTGCGTTAACTATTTTAAAATAATATTTCAGAAGACATTGAGATACTTTGCCTGGTAGAAACCAGCAGGAAAAACAGAGACTTAAAAAATTGAATTAAAGAACCCATTAAGTCAAGGATGCTCGGCCTACCTAGAGCTGCCAGGAACTCGTGGCATCCCGGGAGCCGCCACAGCTGGACGCTGATCGAGACCTGAATGGGAGCTGATGCCAAGTCCTGCTCCTTCTCGCCAGCCTGGAGCTGAACCAGCACCTGGTGGAGCTGAGGGAGGGAGGACAACATGAGCAGGCTGTGTCTCCTTCCCCGCCACCCCGCCTCAGGACTCGACCCATTATTCTCATGTCACCTGTCACTGGCATCGCTAATGACCCTCACGTGTGTGTAGCATTTGAAATTCCTTTTCGGGTGCCGTCATACCTACTGTCCTCTCTGTGGGAAGCTCATGGGGCAGTGGGACAAGAGGCTGTGTGGCCTGCGGGGGCCGGGGCCCAGGCCTGGTTCTACCTCCAGACTCGCGTCTTCCCTCGGGTGTGGGAGAGCCTCAGAGGAGGGGCCGTGGAGAGTCGAAGGGATGAGTTAGGGGACCAGCCACCTCCCTCTTAAGTCATCTTTAGAACTTTGAGGCGGATGGCGAAGAGGAACCTGGTTACATCCTAGAGCCTCGGAGCTCAAGGACTAACCCACGTGGCCCACTCAAGTGTCCATTTCCTTTCAGATCTCGGGGTCTGTGACTTCTCCTCAGGGGTCTGTGTGTGGGTTCACGGAGTGTCACTCACTCAGAGCTGGTTCTGCCCCTGCTGTTCTGGTAGACCTTAAGGGGTCAAATCAAGGACACAAGAAGGGTGGAGCAGGAAGAGGGGAGCCAGAGCAGAGGAGGGGACAGGCCGCCGGAGCCAGTGGCAGTGGGCGCCAGCCTGGAGCGCCACAGCCTGCGTGGCTCCGTTAGACAGCACGTGCACCCCGAGCTCAGACTGCCCAGGGAGACTCGGGGGTGGGCGGGTGGAGGGGCTCACCTGACGACAGTTGCTACTTAAAGTAGTACTCACCATTCCAACCATATTTTTAACAGCCTTCGGCCAGCAGATTATAAGAAAAAGAAAGAAAAAGAGAGAGAGAGAAGAGTTTAGACTCAAGCACAGGCTGTTATGCAACACGAGCTGATCACTGTTTAGGAAGCGCCACACCAGGCCCGGGCTCTGACCGGGAGGGGAGAGGAGCAAGAGTCAGCAGGGGACACACAGGAGAACGGACAGCCACACCCAGGCCAGCCGCGTGCGGGTCCAGGGGCTCAGGGGCAGCGTCAGCCAGGCCTCCCTCCCCAGCCAGTAGAGGCTCAGGAGGGAAAGAGCGCAGCGGGCATCTGTAGCCGGCTCAAGAAACCAAAGTCCCTGGTTCCCGAGTGACCCAGGAAAGGTCCACCAGCTGCCGCCGCTGGGGGCAGCTGCGGGACATGTCCCTAGGGCCCCACAGCATATCAGGCAGAAAGCCCCTGTGCTCCCATCAAAAGCAAGAAATTAAGCAACTGGCTCTTTTGGCCTCTCAGCATAGCTCTGCAAACAATTCTGGCTTTCAGATTCTGTAGAACACAGACCTCTAGAGCGCCTGGGTTCAGGATGCTTTAATGTGCAATGTTCTGGAAGTGTCTTCCTGAAGCTGTTCAACAAGCAGGCATAACACACTTATTACAAAATGAGCAGGGACTCAGCCAAGGGGACAGGTCACTGTTGGTTCTAAGTTTCAAATCCAGGTGGAAACAGCCCCAGGTGAAAGGAAGCTCCAGGCAGCACTCAGTTTCAGAGGCTAATACTGGATGGAGTGGCTTTATTTCTCTATAGAAATATTTTTGCTTAAGTGAAGTTGGCTGGCAAATATCTCCAATAACAATGTATATTACTTTTTCAAATTGTGACATTCCAATATGGCCAGAAAAGCAGCTCTGTGCTCTTCAAGAGCTGCTCCAACCGCCAGAAGTCTTCCCACAGCTGTGCCCCTGGAGCTTGGCCTGGACTCTGACTGGCCAGAGTAGAGTGGTAGAGCATAGGTACTGAGAAGCTCCCAGGCCAAGCTGCAGAGCACCTACATGGTGCTGAGAATCGGAACCCCCTGAACTCCTGACCTAGAGCTCGATTTTCCTGAAAGGAAGCACATCTGCTAAGCAGTATCCTGCATTAGAGTTCCCTGCTTCGCCTCGGTGACTGTCTTGTTTCAGGCATGGTAAGACCTCTGATTAAAGTATGGGCGCACCTGCACCCGTCTTGACGGGCTGGCCCACACCTGGTAGCGGGGGGAGAGTGGCTGTAACACTTGTCAATCTGCTGAAAAGGTGGTGAGGAGGACAAGGTTCAGGAGCCCACTGAATGGAGATTTCAGGAAACGCCCTGAGACCACAGGTGATGGGGGCCCCAGAAGCATCCTCTGAAGGCTGTTGATGCTCTGGGCTCAGCACCCGGTGAGAACACTGTGCAAGCCTGCCCCTCCGTGCCCGATTCAGGCACCCAGCTTTACCATGGGGTTGGCTGCAGAGCTTCATCAAGGCCACAGATGCCCATGACAATGCTAATAGCACATCCTGCCGTCATCCCAGTAAGGGGCAGCGCTCCTGGCATGGATGCCTTGCCGTCATAGATGGAAACGGCACTTGTCGGGGAGGGCTGCTCTTTCCCAGCCCTCACCACCTCCTCCGAATCACAAAGGCAGACGACATGAACTTACAGGTTCCTATTTAAGCCAAGTTGCTCTGCCTTTCCAAATCGGCATGGGGCTCAGGCCCTGCCTCAGCCCTCCAGGCTTGACTTACCCGGCTGATGAGCTGCTCGCCCGTCTCTGAGGCAGTGATGAGTTTGCAAAGGGCCTGGAGGGCAGGATTGGGCAGACCTAACTCAAGAAAAAAGGGAAGAAGTTAGAAGGGCCTCGCACCCACAGACTGCCACCTTCCCCGGGAAAGAACCCTACATCTTCTGCATTGGTGGCATTTTTCAGAAGCTCAGCACAGCTGGACACATGTGTCTGTGTAGGACTCGGAAAGGGACAGTGTGGTTTCCCAGGAAGGGGGGTGGACGTGGGGGGAGTCCTGACCCTGCCACAGTTCTAGGCATGGCCACACTCCCAGGACCCAGGCAGCACCACAAGTCAAGCGCCTAGCTTCACCCGGGGGTTGGCCACACGGCTGCAGATGACAATGGCAAAAATGGCCAGTGTCTGCCAGCATGACCTCCCGTCGTCCCGGGAAGAGGCAGCACAAGCTGAGCACAAATGCCTGCCATCACACATGGCAACAGCAGGTCAATGGCCCTCGTTTCCTCCAGGTGTGGAGAAGCTCGTGTCTGGGGCACCCTGCCATTTCTCAGGACACCCTCCTGCTCCTAGCTGACATCCAGCATCCTCATGAATGCAGGGCCCAGGGTCACCAACTGTTCCGCCTGCTACCCCAGCCCTGCGCCCACAGCTCACCCAGCAGGGACTGGATGGTGCTGCTGCACTGCTGGAGCCGGTCGCCCGGGTCAGAGGTTGGGAAGAAGACAGCCGCTGGTAAGCCACTGGCCGGGGGGTCCAGCCGGAAGCCCACAGCAGTGAGGAGGGTCTGCCAGCCAGGGATGCCGCCCACTTTGTTCTCCACGCTCTGCTGGGACGTGTACATGGCGTTGCGCTGCCCATTCTGGATGCGCTGCAGGGACTTCTCCACCTGGGGGAGTTGGGGGTGAGTCAGAGACCTGGGCCAGCCCTGGTTTCTGCCCATGTGGCTTGGAGGGTACACAAAGCCCCAGGAGCGAAGCAAGGCTGACTGCTGCAACCCCACTTAGCCCACGTGGCCAGGCCTGAGGCTATAACACTGGGGCACTGGCCAGGTATTTTGCAAGGGAGGGCACGGAGGAAGGATTTTACAACCCGAGCCCTCAAGGGCTGGTACAACAGAAGGGTTCTGTCCCTCCCCTAAACCACCCCTTCCACACACTCCACAGAGAGTAAAGCGCTGTCTCCACACACAGGCCAGGGGCCTGCCCACTAAGATAAACCCTCAGGCCCTTCAGAACCTTCCCTCACTGCCACAGCCCAGCCCCATTATGGGGTCTTGGCTGGCAGTGCCCTTCTTCCCTGTTGCTCCCACTCAGCCTTGGTCCCTCCACACTGGCCTCTGGAGCCTATACCTCCCTCCACTGGGAAGTGCCCTCCTGTCCTCCAGGGCCTGAACAGGTGCCTGGCACTTGTACACTGGAGTCGCCCAAGTCACTGCTGCATGAATTACATGAGTGTTTCAACAGGAGTGCAGGTCCTCAAGGTTAAGTGGGGGCAGCTGAGGGGTGCGGAGGCTCATGCCTATAATCCCAGCACTTTGGGAACCCAAGACTGGCAGATCACTTGAGCCCAGGAGTTCAAGACCAGCCTGAGCAACATAGTGAGACCCCAACTCTGCCCCCCAAAAGAACCACACCAGAAAGCAGTGCAGTTTTCATCAGGCCTCCCTGGGTAGGCCTCTCTCTGGTGGAAACCCCTGTCCACTCTAGGATGTTGAATGCCCTGTGAGGCACATGTGCCCTCACTGGAGGGGCAAGAGTGGTCCAAGATGTCACTTGAGACTTTTTAAGTGGGTAAACACTGGGATGCCGGGGCTCAGCGTCCCAGATAGGAGGAAATGAGCCTGCCTGGGAGGACAGACGATCCGCCCCGGCTGTCCCTCGAGCAGTGGGACCTCCAAGACACACTGTACAGTGGGTCAGGAGTCTCCAAGAGGAGTTAGAAGGTAGGGACTGGGCAACTTGAGATAGTGCCAAGGAAGGGAAAACCCTTCAATGTGCCTGAGGTGCCTCAAGGCCATGTGGGGCAGCTGAGAGGCCTGGCCTGGGAGGAGGTGGCCTAATGGGTAGAGAGGGCAGTTCCATTACCCCAAAAAAGCAGTGTGCGGTGGCGGCAAGGATGCAGGGACTTTGGGGGTGACAGGGATCTGAGAACTGAAAGGCTCCATGCAGTTTCCAGACACACGGAACAGTGGAGAGGGCTTCCCAACACCCTGGGTGTGGGCTGTCTCGAACCTGGTCTGAGCTCTGGGGGCTTGCTGGGCACAGTGTTCGCTTTTTTTTTTTTTTTTTGAGACGGAGTTTCGTTCTTGTTACCCAGGCTGGAGTGCAATGGCGCGATCTCGGCTCACCTCAACCTCCGCCTCCTGGGCTCAGGCAATTCTCCTGCCTCCGCCTTCCGAGTAGCTGGGATTACAGGCACGCACCACCATGCCCAGCTAATTTTTGTATTTTTAGTAGAGACGGGGTTTCACCATGTTGACCAGGATGGTCTCGATCTCCTGACCTCGTGATCCACCCGCCTCGGCCTCCCAAAGTGCTGGGATTACAGGCGTGAGCCACCGCGTCCGGCCAGTGTTCACATATTGATGGCTTTCAGGCCTGAAGAGACCCCAACCTTAAGAAATGTGTGTGACTCTATCCTCAGGAGTGCATAGAGAACTACCATGCCCATGCCCAGGTGCCATGGGTCTAAGGGCCCTCCTGTTCAGGCCCAACCCATGGGCAAGAAGTCTGCACAGCCCAGAAGACATGCTCGCTCCCAGGCCTGCATGGATGCTGCCCCGGGTCCTCCGTCTTAACCATAGACAGAGCCAGACTGTGCAGTAACCAGCCTGCAAGGAGGCCCTGGGGTCTGGCAGGTTTGGAAGGAGCTTGGCTGTGGCATAGCTGCCCACCCATGCTGCAGGGGCCCAAGGCTGGCACTGGGCCAGAAAGAGATGGGGTGGGTCAGGGCTGGTCTTTCGGACACAGCACTCTAAATGATTTGAAATGGCTGTCCAGGATGTTACCAAGGTAGGAGGATGAAACAAGTTTTACGTCACTGTTTGACTCATTTGATGACTTTTACACATGTAGACGGGTGCCCTCGCCTGGGCTCCACAGATGTTGGCGCAGGCTCTTCAAGGGCATGATCAGACGTGGACTCATTAGGGGCAGACTAGCGTCATCTGATGGTAAAACTATCTCTCCACTTCAGACTACTATGCACCAAGTGCTCAATTTTCTTAAATCCTCATAACAACCTTGAGATGTTAAACTTTTATCCCCCTTCCGGATGGGAACATTGAGGCTCAGAGAGACAAAGTGACTTTCCCAAAGCCACATGGCCTAGAAGCAGCTTAGGCTATGGGTCACTGTCAGTGGCTGCCTTTCCCCCAGGACCCCAGCGAGTACTGCTAAGCCACCTATATGGCACCACACACTGTGCCCACTACTCAGGCCAGTGGGCTCATCCTGGGGATGCTGCCCACTTTATGCTTTGCTGGGATGAGGGTCTCCCAAGAAGGCTCAACCCAGGGGCATCCTGGACACGGCCACAGTCATGATGTCCTCTCCAACTGCTCACATCCCAATGTAAGGAAACCTTGCCTTCCCCTTCTTGTGCAGCCCGGCCCACTTACCAGGTGCAGGAGCACTCGCAGGGCGTCCCGTGCGCGCTCTGGGTGCTGCAGGATCTCTGTGAGGGCCTGGCCAATGAGTGATGAGGGGCTGTTCAGCTTAACGTCACTCCCGATGAGCATGAACCCTGCGGAGAGCACGGGAGGGCACTTCAGCAGGGTGGCTGGAGACCCCCAGCCCCACCCCGGCTTCAAGGGCTCACTTGCGTCTCACAGTTAACCCAGCAGAAAGAGCAAGTGGCTCACAGGCTGGACTACAGCATCTGACTCCAGGGCAACGATGGGGCACCCTTTTGTCTACCTTTTTTTTTTGAGACAGTCTCGCCCTGTCGCCAGGCTGGAGTGCAATGGCACAATCTCGGCTCACTGCAACCTCTGCCTCCTGCATTCAAGTAATTCTGCCTCAGCCTACTGAGTAGCTAGGACTACAGGCGTGCACCACCACACCGAGATAATTTTTGTATTTTAGTCGAGATGGGGTTTCCCCATGTTGGCCAGGATGGTCTCGATGTCTTGACCTCGTGATCAGCCTGCCTCGGCCTCCCAAAGTGCTGGGATTACAGGTGTGAGCCACCACACCCAGCCTGAGAATGACCTATTTTTTTTTTCTTTTTTCTTTTTTTTTTTTTTTTTTAATTGCATTTTAGGTTTTGGTAGAATGACCTATTTTTAAAGGTAACAGGAGAGCACCACTAAAAATTGTTTCATCCAGAACAAAGTTAGAACTTAAATTATGTGTCAGCAAAACTAAAGACCTTTTTCAAAATTCCATGGCACACGGGAAGGCCTGCACAGACAGGAGAGGGGGTTCCCACAAGCCCTGCAGCAGGTTCTGTGGGGCCCAGAGCCCCGTCTGACTGCCAGGAGCATGTAGCACAGGACTTGTATGGCGAAGGCACTAATGGAAACCACAGGGCTCACCTCTACTTTCTGGGTAAGGGAACAAGCCCAGAGAGTAGTTTGCACTCTGAGTCTTGGCCTGGCAGGGTCTCCTGCACAGCAGAGCCCTCTGAGTGACTGCTGTGGGCACCTTCCCACAGGGACCCCAGGGGAAGCAGGTTGGTGCCTGGAGCTGAGAGGCAGCTCTGTACACCGGAGGGGTGCCTCCCTTCCCACGCCCCTGTGACCAGAAATCACAGGAACGTTCTCTCTTCGCTCCCTAGACCCTAGACCGTCTGTCACCCTCTAGGCAGCCTAACTAAAAGCATGTGTTCCAGAACATGCAGGGCCTGAAGCTTCACAGGATACTCGGTGCACTTCCTACAGACCCGCCCCAAGGTGCACCGGGGGGCGTCATGAGCACCACCGCCATCCCCTTGTTACCTCTGAGGACACAGCTGCAGAGAGGGAAATAACCTATCTCAGGCCACACTGCCAGGGTGGGGAGCGACATCCATCCTGAGTCTTTACCGCACACCCCTTTCTACGGTCATGGTTTAAATGAGGTGCCACGGAATGGGTCATCCAGTGCACCCTGACATCTGGAGGGGTTCTACATTCATGCTTTCATGGCAAATGGTTTTGTTGCTTCCTGGTCCAAAGATGATCTCAATAGTAGGAAAAACTCATTTGACAGAAGCAAGCCTTGGCACACAGGCAGCCCCTGTCCTGCCCTCCCCAGCCCCACTTTGAGAATAAAATCGAAGGACTATGTGGACTGAGGCCCAGGCCTTGACAGGCGCCCGCAGCCGGCCGAGCTCCCACCTGCCCAGTTGGAGGGGTGCGAGAAGGCCTTGCTGCTCTGCACCGCCTTCATGGCCTCCCCCAGGGCAGCGCTGGCTTTCAGGCCGTTGAGCAGGGATGAGTAGAAGGCGTGGATGAACATCTTGGAAGCAGCCACTGGCGCAGGCCACAGAGACACAAGGACACACTGAGCGCCGGCAGCCAGGAAGGCCCTTGTCAGCGCAATGACCCCGTCAGCTGTGACTTTGCTGTTGGACTCCTGGGAGGAGCCGAGCACCACCAGCTTCACGGGCAGCTGCAGGTCCAGGATGTCAGCGGCCGTGAGCAGGAGCTCCTGCAAGGGCGGGCAGTCCGAGATGCTCTCTCCATCACTGGCATCGTCCTGCACCCGCAGGGACTCGGGGATCGTGTAGGGGTGGCCGAAGGAGCTCTTGCTGCCCGCAGGGTTGCCGTCTGTGCTGGGCGTGAGGACCAGGGCCGACAGCTTCCAGGAGATGTGGGTGGCAAAGTGGACGCACTCCGCCTGGGTCAGGGCGCTCATGACTCTCTCCTTGGTGGCCACACTGCCCACTAGGGGCTGGCAGCCCAGCAGCTCGGACACCATGTAGGCCTCTTCCTCGGCTGATGGCATGGGCCCCCACAGCCACCTGTCCATCACAGGCCGCTGGGAGCTTGGGGTTGCCGATGACAGCCGCCATGGATGTGGAGCTGGAGTATGTAGGCGGGTTCTTCCGTAGGTGAGACTAGGAGGGGAGGGGACAAAGCAGACCACACGTCAGAACGGCCAGGCTGCCCAGCGGTGGTCAGCCGAGTACAGGGGTGACCAGCTCTTTGCTGGTCAAGCTTGGGTCACTTCATTCACTCTTATTTTTCAACTTCTTTTTGACACAGGTGCCTAACTTACTGAGAATCCCGCCTGCCATCATGAGCTCTTGAAAATCAGGACTGGATGGTGGGAGTCCCGAGAGGACTGCAGGAGGAGGAGGCCCCGACATGGCAGAGTGGACAGAGGCCGTGGAACCTGGGACAGCCAGCCTGCTCCACAATCCTCGTTCCCACAGACCTCTCTGTGGGGCTCCTAAGAGGAGGCCCAGTCCTGGGAGTCAGGGGGCCTTGAGAAGTGATTCTATTTAAATGGTGCAAGCAAGCAAACCACTCCTGGCGGGAGAGGGCTAAACAAAGTCCTCTAAGAAGCTCTGTATACTGACAAAATTCTAGTTCCCTTCCGCCTTACATGCTGCAAAGTAAACAGTATCACTGAATGAGAAAATCAGCATAAAGAAGCCCAGTCACGTCTCTGAATTTCCACTATGATGACTTTTGATACTTTTTGGGAAACATTAAGTATGAAGTATTTCAAAATAACTTTTTAGTGCCTCTGCTTGGTGATTCCTTAAACTCTGGGTAAGAGAAACACCAGGTGCCTGGAGGAGATGGCCTCTTCCAGGTCTCTGGTTAAGCTACCACCAGCTAGCTAGCTGGCTGTTGTCATCGAAATAAAAGCTTTCTGAAGGTGGTGGCGTCTGATACCCTGAGTGCTGTCAGCTGGTGCCGTGGGCCGATGGGTGGTGGCAGCATCGAGAATCCCAGAAGGAAGCTCACTTCCTATCTGAGATTCCCAGCGCTTTCCACCACTGTGAAGAGGCCCATCTGACTAGACCCACCTGGCCTGCCGTGGGGTACTGGGGGCAGATGGGGTGTGAGGGCCCTAAGAGCAACTGACAGCTCGAGGGCATCTGGAAGTTGGAGGACGGAGCAATGCAGACCCCTGTGGTAAAGACAGTCCTGCAGCCGGGCAGGCAGGGATGCTGCAGGCGGAATGCCAGGCGGGTGCAGGGCCCTGTGGGACTGGAGGGCTCACAGGGAAGCCAGGATTTGGGGGTCTGAGAGTTTGGAGAAGGGGAAGAAAATTAAAGCCTGGCTCAGAAGTTTCTAATCAGGTGGGCAGGGCCAAGGGTGGCTGTGGGGTGAGACCCATAACTCAGGGCGGCCCACTGTTACTCTCTTGATTTGGGGGTGTTGCTGTGTCCCCGCCTGTCCCCTGAAAGCCACCTGACTTGTTCTCAGTGCCATCGGCCCGTCAGGCTGTTTTCCACTCAACTCCACTTTTGCTTGTCTGCCCTCCCTACCTAGGTCCCGGTGAGCAGTCAGCTCGAGGGCCAGGTGAACTGGGTGGCTCTGCTGTGCCCACTGGGCACTGTGTGGATGGGAAGTGACCAGTTCCCTCAGGTGCTCAGTCAGGCCTCAAGCCTGGCTGTGTGCCTCAGAGCAGCTCAGGACCCTGATGTCACAGCAAAGAAACTTAGAAATGACACAAACTGTGGCTTCTCGAGGTAGCAGAGAATGGCCAGGGGTCCTGAGGGCCATGCCCCACTTTTGGACAGACCTACTCTAAAGTCATGCTACTTGTGTGCAAATCATAAAACCAACACTTTTAGGAGAGCACAGCTATGCCTCAGTAACACAGCCCAGTCCAACCGGGTAGACAGCGTCTCGTGACCCGAGAACAAGCTCCCCGGCCCCCCACCATGTGTATGAGCCTTACCTTGGACTGCATGCTAAGGGAGCGGATGGAGGGGACAGCGAGGAGGCCGAAGCGCTCGTAGAGGTACTCGTTGGAGGAGCTTCCCTTCAGGAGGGCGAAAGGAATGAGGTAGAGCTCCCCCTCCAGAACCAGGATGAGCTGCCGGTGCCGGCCCACGGGGCCGCTGGAGTGCATCAGGCCCTGCGGAGCAAGCATGGGGAGGCTGACATGGGCCCAGCAGGCACCAAGATGACCTGAGCCGCAGCCTGGTGATGCAAGATTGAGCAGGCAAGACCTGTGGGTGTGTGGAGGGCCATGGGGCAGGGGCCAGGTCACAGCCCTGCAGGAGCGTCACCAAGAGGCATGCTTGCTCACGGACTGGCGAGGGCTGACCTGGCAGTGTCCATCTGCCTCACAGTCCTGAGACAGAGGAGAATTTCTGGAAGTTCACAGGAACCTGGAGTGGGTGGGAGACCAAGGTCACAGGCCATGAGGGGGATGGCCCACAAAGACAAAAGCAGACCCAGGTAGATCCAGATGTTCCTACAGGAGGCAGGAAATGAATGCAGAGGGCATTGTCCCACAAAGGGATCTGGGAGTTGCAGTGTACCCCAAAGGACCAGTGCAGGGGCCTGTACTGCACACCTGAGAATGGGTGGGAATAGCTCCTCTCAAAACAGGATGTTTTCCATTTCAGTGGACAAGAGGCTAGAAATTCAGAGTGAGTACGGGAGGTCTGGGGGCTGGCATGACAGCCCCTGGAGAAGGGGAGGGTCTGGGCTCTAGGACCTTTTGTGACCTCCTCTGAGGAAAGAGTGGCCCCTTGGCTCTGGGCTTGGGTGGTGCTGTCCCCACTTGTTCCCTCTGGGGACGTGAGAGGACCCAAAGCACAGATGACTCCCATCCCTCTTGAAAGGCTGGCATGAAGACCCAAGGCAGAGTGTGCACACAACCACAGCAGACACGGGCTCATTCCCGTTCACTGTAGAGCAAGGCTAGGGCTGCGGGCTCTTAGGGGGAGCAGCAGGCAACGATCTTGGAGCTGGGTCCGCACAGGCTGAGGTGAACACAGGTGGCATGGAAGCTGCTGCTGCAGCCCAGAGCCTGCCGAGAAGGTACCAGGTCCACAGAGCCTGTGTAGCACCGGGTGCCATGGGTGGAGCTGGCCTGCCCCCCCCCCAACCCCATCTGCTGAGGAGTGGCTGACAAGTGGACACCCACCAGGGTGCCACTATGCCCGGGGAAGCGAATGTGCTCGCTTGACCTGTCTGATGTGCAGCCATGGGCAGCTGGCTGAGGGTGGCAGGGCACTTGGCTAACCCAAAGTGACACATGCCTGGCGGACGTTCAGTCTTTGTAAACCCCTATGTTTTTTTTTTTTTTTCTTTCCTTTAAAAATAAAATTCTAGCTCCATCTAGCAAAAGCAGAAATAAAAATGATTAGGCCAATTTGTTCGTTTGTTTGCTGTAAGAGCTACAGGACAGGGCACAGTGGCTCACACCTGTAATCCTGGCACTTTGGGAGCCCAAGGTGGGCAGGTCACCTGAGGTCCGGAGGTCAACATGGTGAAACCCTGTCTCTACTAAAAATACAAAATTAGCCAGGTGTGCTGGCAAACACCTGTAGTCCCAGCTACTCAGAAGGCTGAGGCAGGAGAATAGCTTGAACCCACTACAACCCGGGCGAAGGTTGTAGTGAGCCAAGACTGTACCACTGCACTCCAGCCTTGGTGACACAGCAAGACTCAAAAAAGAGCTACAGTATTTCCCAAGAGGAGGTAAACGAATCACTGTGCGATTATGCAACCCAGGCAGGAAGAAGTGGGGGTATGTCACAGTAACCCCAACACTGTCTGCGGATGAGCTCTAGGTTAGCACAGGGAGGAGAAAGAGCGAGCTGTAGGCACCTGGGCCCTATGGCCTGCCATGGGCCACATCTGAAGCCCCTGGCTCCGCAGGCAGAGATGGCTCCGGGGGCTGCTCGGGAGGGCAGTGCCACCATGCCATCCAAGTGTGCCAGTGAACCTTGAATGAGCTGCAGTGGCACAGCGGATGGTGCCCTGACCCTGGTGACCCCCTGCTGCTCGGTGAGAGCCGTGCTGCCTGAGAATGGGCAGTGTGAGGCTTCAGCCATCTGCCATGCACAAAGCTGGACCCACACTCCACTGTTGCAGAGTCGAAGGTCTTTGTTGTGACAAGATGCCAGCCCCAGCCCTGTAGGTCCTCGCTGGGCTCCTGCCACCCAGGCCCAAACCATAGTAAGTTTCTGCCAGATGTCATCCCACAGGCTACTGCCTTCACCAGGAAACATGCCACTCTGACAAGTCCCTGGTTGTGACACCACCTAACCGCGTGACCCAGAGGGAAGCTGGGCAAGCTGAAAAAACGGGGAGAGGCTGGAATCCACGCAGAGCAAACATTCACTGGCAGCACGTCTTTGCAGAACTCTGCTAACTAACTCTACCCACAAAACCTCGCCTGCAGCACAAGCCTAATGATTGAGTGAATGCATGCCTTGGAGGCAGCTTGTCTGTCTTCTCCAACACTCCACCAGGGCTGGGGGCATCTCCTGTGGCCCTATTGTCAGAAGTCTCCCAAGCTGGCCCTCGGCTTTCTCATCAGCCACTGAGTGGTGTCCCTCATGTGCCTACTGAGGACTGTAGGGAAGTCATTTAAATTTAGCACATGGTCCCTGCTTGGAAACCTGTACTTAGAAAAATACGATACACGCAAGAGGCCACTGCTGAGTGAGACTCAGTATCGTCTAACGTAACAGCCCCACAGCAGCATAAGATGTCACCCCAGAATGGAGAGCGCCTACCTCGGCTGATGCTGGGCCCACCCAGGAGGCTGCTCTGGTCTATGAGGACTAGGGAAGACCCAGCCTGGGTAGATGCTGTTGCCAGGTGAGCTGGGCACAAGGCTAAAGAGGGGCATGGGAGCCAGACTGTGGGGGCGCTGAAGGTCCGGTAACAAAGCGTGGTTCTTGGCTGTCAGGACCCGCCACACCTTCTCAAGCAGAGCCCTGCAAAGCACTGAGAGGCAGCCTGCCTGTGGGAGAGGGGGCTATGCCCTGCAGCAATCCAGACAAGGGCAATGCCCACCAAGAGAGGAGACAAGGAGATTTGCTGGGACTTGGTGAGAGTGATCTTAGTGGGTGAGGAGAAGTCTGAAGTCCAGGCGGGGAGATGAACCTCATATCCGAATGTACAGGTCTGAGCCCTCCCTGCATAGTGCCTGGGAGCTGGTAATGAGTTTGGCACATGCATACAAACCTGGGTGAAGGCCCCCATATGGGACCCCTGTCCAAACTGTGTGAAAGGAGGCAGGTGACAGCCGCAGCTGTTCTTTGAAATGTGTGGGCTTGTGGAGAGACGGGTAGAACGGCAGGCTGACAGCTCCTGTTAAAAGGCACAGGGAAACTGATTGGACATGCTAGAGACAATGCCCAGGAAACTTCTGAGTTCTGCCTCTGGTATATGTGTGCTGTCCTTGCACTGAAAGATTAGCTATTGTGCACTTGAAGAGGGCAAAGAAAGCAACATCTCTATTCAGCTTACATATCATCAACTATACTGCAAAAGACAGACGTTCAAGGAAACTCTGCTGGACACCTGGGCCTGTCAGCCTCGGAAAGGGCATCTGCTGGTTTCTTAAGGTTTAGGGTTGAACAATAAAGTGGCTCACAGAGCAGCAACTACCAGCGTCTCCAACAGACTCCATCACAGACTCAGATGTTCTGACCTTTGCAGTTTCTAGTCATGGGACTTCTGAAAGCAGAACATGATGGGGCAGGTGCACTAGAATCTGTCCCTTCTCAGGTGCTGCCCTTCGCTCTCACCAAGGGGCTGTGGCCCTGACTGTGGCAATGTGAGTTCAGGCAGCAAATGCTGCTTGAGAACTTTCTCTATGCCAGGCCTGGTGAGAGAAAAGGGGAAAGATACAGTGCCAGGCAGGCAGGCCAGCATGCGCAGCACTGTGGGGCTGCCCTG